GGGCTATGATCGGGACATGCAGCAGTGCAGAGCGAAGATAAAGGAGCTGAGGCAGGTGTACCATAAGATGCGGGAAGCAAACCATCGCTCCGGTGGTGCATGTAAGACGTGCTGTTTCTATAAGGAGCTGAATGCCATCCTCGTTGGTGACCCCATCTCCATCACGGATTGCCCTGTGGATACTTCGCATGCAGCTGAAAGAGGGAGTAACCCGGAGGCTGAAATTGTGAATGAAGATGATGTGGTGCTCCCAGTGGGGTCGCCTGGTGGGCCAGGCAGCCAGGAACTTTTCTCCACTCCAGAAGTGCTCAGCGGGGAGCGAGAAGCAGATGAGACTCCGGGTAAGTTGCTGTGGCTTGTGTAGGGAATTGAAAAGTGGGAGGCAGGTAATGTTTTCTGTGAGCTGGACATTGCCCTGTGTATCTAATCTGCATGGCCAATCAGGGTGTCGATGGACATCGAGACCTGCAGGGAATCCTCCAGAGAGAGGCTCTGGAAAGTTTCAAAGAGGTACTTGTTAATCCTCTGCCGCAGATTCCAAGGGATTGCAGCCTTGTTAATTCCCCCATTGTAGGAAACTATACCATGCCATTTAGCAATCACTGGAGATGGGACCAAGGTGGTACACACCTGCGCTGCATATAGACCGGGGTGAAAGCCCCAACCATTCAGCAGCTGAGTCCTGGTTTCTCTGGTCACACTCAGCAGGGAGATGTCAGCCAGCAGGTTGGCCGCTTGTGAAAAAGTGTAGGATAATTTTAGGATGAGTTCCCTGCAAAGCTGCCCTGCAAGCTGTGACCTTTTTGTCCGTACACACAACTGCCTTTCGCCCCATTCCCGAAACTCGCTGAGCTGTGTGCCTGCATAGAGTCTCAGAGAGAAAGTGATTTCTATTAGCAAAATGCCCTTTTTCACTAAAATGTTTCAATCGTTTGCCTGAATGTAACAATCCCTCTTCTGTTCAGCACAGACCTTGAACACATCACGCACCCCTGTGGACTGGTTGCGGCAGATAAGAAAAAAACCTAGGCTCAGCAAAGAACACGTGTTCCGCGAGGTTCTACAGCGCGATGACAGACAGACCAGGGAACAGAAAGGGTGTTGGGAAGCCGAAAGGCAGGACAGAAAAGAGAGTGCTGCTTTTGCTAGGGAAGTGACAGAGCGGATGATAAAAGTTATGGCGGATCAGACGGAGATGCTCAAGTCATTGATACAGCTGCAGACTGAGCAGATCCGAGTTGGAGCGCCACTGCAGCAGATGCACAATTCTTTCCCACCCCCCTCTACGCCCACACATTCCTTTTCACTTCACAGCACTCCTGAGTTTCCCCATCATTCCACCCCGTCAGAGCTTGCACAATGATAGCTGGAGCTACACACAGTTGTGTGGTTTTATCCTTTTTAACAATAAGGAAAGGCTAAGGTATTTAAAGGTACAGCGTTTTTATTCTGTGTTCTACAAAAGTGTATCACAATCAATTCACTCTCGGGAACAGGCTTCTAAAGCATTGTGTTGCACGGATCTTGGCCCCAAAATTGTACATGGATGCAACAGGGAGGCAACTCCAAAGCAGACGTGTTACTGCCCCTCATTGTCAAAATGGTTCCTCAAAGCCTCTCTGATGTTAATAGCAGCCCTCTGGGCTCCTCTGACAACCCTAGCATCTGGCTGTTCAAACTGTGCAGCCAAGCGCTCTGCCTCAGTGCTCCACACCTGAGCAGACATTTCACTCTCAGATTCACACAAATTATGCAAAGTGCAGCACACGGCTATGACCACAGGAATATTCTCCTCAGTAAGGTCTAGCCTGCCATTGAGACTCCTCCAGCGAGCTTTCAAACAGTCAAAGGCACATTTGACTACCATGTAGCACCTGCTCAGCCTGTTAAAACGCTCCTTGCTACTGTCCAGGTGCCCTGTGAAACGTTTCATGAGCCAGGGCTGTAAGGGATAAGCCGGGTCTCCCAGTATTACTATGGGCATTTCCACATCCCCCCACTGTGAACTTGTGGTCTGGAAAGAAAGTCCCCACCTGCAGCTTTCTGTACAGGCCATTGTTCCTGAAGATGTGTGTTTCATGCACCTTTCCAGACCAGCCTGCATTTATGTCCGTGAAATGCCCCTGGTGATCCACAAGCGCCTGCAACACCATGGAGAAGTATCCCTTCCTGTTGATGTATTCAGAGGCAAGGTGGTCTGGTGCTAAAATTGGAATGTGTTGATTTGCAACTGACTGGTAGCAGTCTGGATTTGCAAGCTTCCACACAGCGATTGCAACACGTTTCTCTACCGGAAGGGTAGCTCTCAAGCTGGTGTCCTTGCGCTGCAGGTCTGGGGACAGCTCAGCACAAATCCATGAAGGCTGCTTTGCGCATCATAAAGTTCTGTACCCACTGGTCATCATTCCACACCTGCATCACAGTGCAATCCCACCAATCAGTGCTTGTTTCCCTAGCCCAAAAGCAACGGTCTACCATATGCAGCTGCTCTGTGAATGCACAAAGCACTGATAAGTTGCTGCCGTCCATATCACACTCGGGTGCCTGCGATTCATCCTCTGCTAACCCTAACTGTGCTGCCATGCGCGATGTCCTCACGACAGCTAACAGCGCATAGGAGAGAAGTGCGGGATCCATCCTCTCTCATTGTAGATGCTGGCGCGCACTACAAAAGAATGACAGTTGGAAAAACGCCGCGAAAGGAAGCCAGAGGGGTGGGACATAAAGCGATGCATGATGGTACATTTTGCACATCCCAGGATGCGCCGCGCTCTGTTTCCAGATTCCCACAACACCTAGTGATGGATGGTGTTGCCAGGCACTGTGGGATGCATACCCACAGTCCATTGCTCTCGCTGTCGACAAAGGTGCCTCAAATATGGACACGATTGTCGACAGAGGGAGCAAATGTAGACATGGTTTGGCGACTTCGCTTTTGTCGATTTTCCCCCCCCCCCTTGGCAACATTAGTTTCATCGAAAAAAATTGCAAGTGTAGACAAGCCCTTAATAATATCATACAGTAGACATCTTAACTTTACATACAATGTTGCCACACATTTTACCAGGACAATAAAGATTAGCAAATTATGAGTTTTCAGATTTCATTGTACAAAATTTCATACCCTTGAAAAAGGAGTGGATATAGGGATAAAGACTGTTACAGGTACGTGTTTTGAACCACTTTAGTCTGGGTGATTGAAACAATGCACCTCGAGGGCCACAAAGATGTGTATTGCAGGCCAGTGCCCCATAGCAAGATCTGAAGATGCTTTGTAACAATGCAGTCTTTAGGAGTTGTACCTTAATCCTAAACGTTCCTCATGAGCTGAAATGTGGTGTAGAATCATTGAACAAATAGGTTTTTTCCATCTCTAGCTTCTATCAGTCCATCTCCCGATGCAGAATCATTCCCTAGAGCATACCTTCAAATTGTAAGGGATTGGACTCACCCCTGCTGTGCCTCCTGCTGGTCATCCTCAGGGAATTAGCTCTCCCAGCATCTGGAGTGCCCTCTGCAGGCCGGTGATCCACTTACCGCTGGCCCCGTGTCCCTCCCCCTTAGGGGTCCCCATTTACCTGGGGTGCTGCCCCTCTGGCAGTAACCCCTCACAGCCTCAGGGTCTTCCCCCTCCCAGGGGAACCCCCATCCACTATCCCCACTTCGCCTCAGTGTTCGGCTACTGCCATTCCCCATCTAGCCTCCCCACTCACTGGGGCGGACTGCAGTGTAAGCCACTCATCATAGGCAAAGGGGGTTCGGACCTGCTGCCTCCACCTACCCATGGGCTGCCCCCTGCAACCCAATACCTAATGGGCCTTACCAGGCCTGCAGCCTGGGGCTTTCCTAGGCCGGAGCTCCCTGGCTCCCTAGGCCTTTCCCCAGCCCTGCTCCAATCTAGGTTTCTTCCTTGGCACCTTGCAGCCAGGCCCTTCTCCCTCTACAGGCAGAGGGAGACTGCCTGGGCCTCTGGCTCACAGCCTTTTATAGGGGCCAGCTGGGCCTGATTGGGGCATGGCCCCAGCTGAGCCTACTTCCCCCAATCAGCCCAGGCTTCTTGCCACAGCCCTCTCCTAGGCTGTTTCAAGCCCCCACGGGGCAGGAGCAGGTAACCACCCTGCTACAAAATGCTTTGTCAAATTTCCATGATCTAATTGTTAGGACTTTTTTCCTCCTACTATGCAACAAGGGAAAACGTGTAGTGTTCCTCTTTAAAATTTCATCCCACTACATTTAGTTATACCTCAAGTAGTACCCTTAAATAAATACTCTGCCTCTGTAACATTTACATCCTTCACATATTTGTGGATTCCTTATTTCCTCCTTTGTTTTTATTTTGTCAATGAGCAGTGTAAATTAAATTACCTTCTGACTGTTGGAAAATCACCCCTTCTGGGTGACCTGGACTTGGGAAAATCTGTGTTTCCACAGTTCATGTTATGAGTCAGACACCTTACATGAGCACTACATTAACATCCTAAAAACAAAAAATTGGGGTGGTAAGAAAATACCCAGTTTTTTCTACTGGAATGCTCTTGCTGTCATCAAATGCTGTAGTCTGGCATGTGACCATTGCATTATTTTTCATTTATAGAGGTCCACTGGGACACTCAATGCTACACAGAGGACATCAGTCCCCACCTCAAGAAGCTTATACTCTAAATCAGGGGTCGGCATCGTTCGGCACGCGGCTCGCCAGGGTAAGCACCCTAGCGGGCTGGTCCAGTTTATTTACCTGCTGTCACGGCAGGTTCGGCCGATCGCGACTCCCACTGGCCGCGGTTTGCCGTCCCGGGCCAATGGGGGCGGCGAGAAGCAGCGCGGGCGAGCGATGTGCTGGCCGCGGCTTCCCGCAGCCCCCATTGGCCTAGGACGGCGAACCGCGGCCAGTGGGGGCCGCGATCGGCCGAACCTGCCGCGTCAGCAGGTAAATAAACTGTCCCAGCCCGCTAGGGTGCTTACCCTGGCGAGCCGCGTGCCAAACGTTGCCGACCCCTGCTCTAAATTAAATACCCTCCATCCAATCTCTCTCTCAAATCTTATGTTCTTGATTCAGGAAAGTAGATGCTGAATGGAGGAAAAGGACAATGTGGTTTATAGACTTATTCCTTTCTTTTTGGCAATTAAAATTTTAAAGATAATCCAAGAATAACTAACAAACCACATTTGCAATGTTCAGGTATGTTCCGTGTGTGTTAGTGTTTGGACTAACAGCCCAAGTCTCTTTATTCCTAGAACAGGACCAATACAATAAGCAAAAGTGCAAGCTTCGTCCACACATTCTCCTGCCAATGTATCTCAACCCTGTTCTGAAAGGACCATGTCTAGGAGTGAGAGGATCCAGGGCCCATTCAGTCCTTGGATATTTTTTACTGAGACTGCCAACAAGAGTGTCTTGGTATAAATTGCATGGTGTTTTGTGTTAAACTGATTCACTGAGAATCTGACTGAGATGATCAGACTCTTTGCTGAACAGCCATTTAATGCTAGCAATTTTTGGTCACAAATGACCTAAGCCAAGGTTGGAAGGACAATGAAAGTCACTACATCCCAATTCTAATCTCCTGAGTCATCCATTCTCCCCCCTCCTCCCAAATGCAGTTTTTAAATTGGAACTTGTGGAAGGATTGGTGTTTACCGTAAAAACTAGGTTTTGCCTTTTCAATATTATGTTTCTTACTGAGGAAGATACACTTTACAAAAACTAAGGTTTTGGGAATCTGGTACCAATGAAGTCTTCCTTACTAGCAAGTACAGTATGCATGTGAGAGATGAATCAAGAATGAGCTTTTGAATTTCTCTAGGTTTTTCTCCTCCAAAAAGTTTCCTAACTGACCTTTCAGAATGATAAGCAGTTGTGGGGGGAGATTCCTTTCCCTTTCATACCCAATTCTGTAATTCTACTTCCACAGAAACTTCAGAAGAGCTGATGTATTGGATTTTTTTAAAAGAAAGTTTGTGATTCTATTTCAAGTTCACATGGAATGCAATCCCAATAATTCCTTGTCAGTAACTTATTGCAAACTTGTAATGAGTTTATTTGTTCTCCCATAGATCTTTGAGGAAACTGCCTCTAAAAGCTTTTTCATGCATCTTGTTTCCAAATTGAAATTATAAACCTGTGCTCTAATACCTCTTACCTCATTAGAATGGAGGGATGTCAGTTGCTGTGTTAGAACAGGATTAAAAGTTTAACCTCTGAAAAGATTTTGGAAAGTAACAGTTCATCCATATAAAAATAATACTTCACTCTTATAGAGTTTTCATCCATAGATTTCAGTGTTTTATAAAGGAGGGTAGGTATCATTGTCCCCATTTCACAGATGAGAAAACTGAGCTGTAGCGGGAGTAAGGGTCTTGTTAACATGTGACATCTGTAAAAATAGCCACATTAGAAAAGCATTAAGTTAAACAAAAACACCATTAGGATTAATGTTGGCACCCTCTCCAATAGTAAATGAACAGAGCTGTGCAAATAATAGATTTTTAAGTTTTCTGGCTGAACTGGAGAAAAAAAAATCATTTCAGATTGACCCAAAACAAAAATATTTTGATTTTCCTAGCAAAAAGAAATGCCCCCACCCTCACCCCGCTCCAACCACCTTGTTTCGGGTCAAACAGAATGTTTTGTTCTCACTTTGGGTATCTTTAACTTTTTTTTTTAAATTAACAATAAAGGAAATTTAGAAATGCCACTCACAAAACTGGAGAGGGAACAAGTTCAAAATGTGCTCCCTCGTTCAAAGAATCAAGTCCTCCTGTGTATGGTATTGTCAGGGCTATTCCCCAGATTCCAAGAAGTTCTCTTCTATATAAGTAACAATGCTTTTTTCTTCCTTGGCTTAATTAAATTACATGACTCTCATGCTTTATGATAGCGGATAGACCTGTTAATGCTTTCTTGCCCATTAGTAGATGGCATTGGCTTTTATGAGCCTTACTCTATCAGTTTTATCAAGAAAATTAGCATTTTAAACAATATCCAATTTGTTAAAATATGATGAAATCAAATAAATGCATATTTTGCACTTGGTGCTTTCCAGCCAAGGGTCAAAGTGCTTTGCAGAAACTGGTAATTACTGCCCTTGCTTGATAAATTGGGAAACTGAGGTCCAGAGAAGTTAAATGACTTACCCAATGTGTCACAGTGAGTCAGTCGTCAATTCAAGAGAAGAACTCTGGTCTCCTAATTTCTGATAGTGCATTCTGAGGGGCTACACAGTTGTATCTGCACTAAAGTGTGACAGTCTTTTGATTGAATGATAGATATTAATATTAAACTTGTTTTAATACTTGATATTTAAAGTACAATGAAACCTATCCAAGTGACCACCTTCATTGGAGGGCTCTCAAGGCAGGAGGTTGTCTAAAGTATCCCCAAATGTAACAAGTCCAGTTCTGCTCCAGCTTCATGAGAAGACCACTTTTGTTAAGCAAGTGATTTTGCCAGTCCCTTCTACTATGACATGCACAAATCCTCATTTTGCTCCTTTATTATATATAGGAGGCCTGAAAGGTGCTTCTGAAAAGTGTTTGCTTGTTTTTACTTTAGACCTCTCAGGGATGTAAAATCTGCTTTTTCTGGAAGACCTCTTGTCTTGATAATCAGTCATCTTAACTGAGGGAGTTGGCATATTGAATCTTCAACAGACATCTCTTCTCCAGAATGTCTGTCATTAGAGTTAAATAGGTGTTAATAAAGTTAGAGTAAAAATTGTTACTTTGACTCTTGTGATGCTTTAGTTTCAGGAGTTTTCTAGTCATTACAGAATTATCCAGGGTAGACAAGACCTGTATTTCTAAATAAAAGTTGTGTTTGTTTTTCATATTAGAAAGTTTTAGGTGGTCCTTATACATCATAAAAAGATGCAATCCCACTCTTACCTTTTGTAGATCTCCTGTACGTCTCATTTAACTGTCTGGTGTGATCATGTGTTTGTCAATACAATGTCCACAGTTAAGGGTTTTGAATATTAGGAATATGCAAGCACAACAGTCTACAAAACTTCTGGCTAACATGTTTTCTGAAGATAGCATCATGGGATTCAGTATGTTGTTCCCAATCTACAGAAAATATTTAATACTCCTCCCCCCTCTTTCCCCATCCAGATTAGCAAGACATCTACAGAAAGAGGCCCAGTCTCAACACAACAACTCAGAGTTCACAGAAGATCAAAAGGTACGTTACTGTTCGTTCAGTCCATGGGGGCTTGATCCTGCAAGGTCCTGGTTGCCTGAGTCCTCTTGAAGGCTCTGAGGACTGAGCCCTCTGTTTTTCTTCTCCCTTGAAGTATAAGGTATTGTGAAAACAGAAAATAGCATGGCTGAAATGTTTATCGTTAGATGTGACAGATATTCTGATGTGCAGTATTCATGTCTTACAATCTGTCCAGAATCCTTCATAACCAGAGTTTTTCTTTTTGGGTGACCTTTTAATAACTTATAGAACTTTGGCAAGGAATTAATTTAATTTTGTAAAGTCCAAATGTAAAATGTCTTGAACTGCAGATGTGTCTAGTGCGTGGGGGAGGATGTTAATTTAACATGTAACACCTGATGGGAAGTGAGACTGCCAAAGTCTTCTAGAGCTGGGGTTCTCAAACTTTTTCTTTCTGAGGCCCTCCCAACATGCTATAAAAACTCCACGGCCCATGTGTGCCACAACTACTGTTTTTCTGCATATAAAAGCCAGGACGAGCGTTGGGGGCTAGCAAGCAGGACAACTGCCCGGTGCTCCAGGCCACAGGGTGCCCCATGAAGCTAAGTTGTTCAGGCTTTAGCCCTGGGTGACAAGGCTCGCAGCCCTGGGCTTCAGCCCCTTGCGGCAAGTCAATGCTGGCCCTGCTTAGTGGACCCCCTGAAACCTGCTCGTGGCCCCACAGGGGGGCCCCGGACCCCTGGTTGAGAACCCCTGATCTAGAGTCTTCAATCTTTGCAGTCTTTCGACTGAACAAGGTTGTAGTGTGTGTTCTGTTGTTTTTTTGTCAGCATCATGTTGGTGTAATTCTGGAAGGGGGGTTGTTAAAAAGGGAAACTCCAACAGACTTTCTCAGCACTGAAAACCAATTTTAGTGAGGTGTATTCAGTATAATAAACCTCCCCAACCCTGCTGCTGGTAATACATGTAACTTTGCTACCCTTGTGATATTTTGTGAAGGGACAGGGTTTTATTAGGAGTGATGGCCATGTGGAGAAGACTTGTGATTACAGGTATTGTTTATGGGAGCAATAGCTTATTTAGGAATGGAATTTTCTAGTACACAACTCAGTTCAGTATACACGTTACAGAATTATGTGTGGATTAGAGAAAAAGAACCTAGTAAGAGATGGTTTACGATCTGCTGTGGACTGAGAACTTCAAGGTGGATAAATAATCTGAGAAATGAATGTGCTGCCGTGGCTGCCATTTTAAAAAGTCAGCATTTGTCTTCAGCAACAGAGGGTCCTGTGGCACCTTTGAGATTAACAGAAGTATTGGGAGCATAAGCTTTCGTGGGTAAGAACCTCACTTCTTCAGATGCAAGTGAGGTTCTTACCC